CTTTAATAAAATATGACTTGTTATTCATAAATCACTTTTGGAGAAAACACTGTCTATGAGATTTTACATGTGTTAAATAGTTATATTAAAATTCATAGCTGGCAGTTCTGAATAGTGTACTTTTGAGCAGGTGTGGTAGTCTGAACAGTGAATTTGCACATGCTGTTTCTGGAATGACCTTACACATTGCTCATAAATTACTACTTGGATCATTTGTGGGCAAGCTCATAGTGGTTCTAAGTGCTCTGCTCCAGCTTAGAGCTCAAAGTTGTCTTCCGGATCTCCTCTGATACAGAAAAGTACTGGAAATACAATGATTTCTCTTAGCAAAGGCACTGGTCTTTAGGTTGTATCAACTGCACGTTAATCACCTGACTTATTATAGAATTCCACTGAGCATATAGTGATGCCAAGTATGGTGGCCTTCCTTGCCCTACCGAATTATTAACTTTGGAAAGCAAAGAACTGACTTACATTTCCATCAATATGTGAGTTTTAATATGAGTCATGAACTATGCCACATATTTCTCAGACCACTTGATTGTCCTAAACATATTTAATGCGAACTTAGTAGAATCCAAAAGACATTTCGATATACTCACTGCATATCATTACCTGTCCAACTATATGCTTGCTGAATTAGGTATTATGTAGGAAATGTGCTGGGCTGAGGAATGCCCCCCACATTTCAAGTCTGCCAGAACCTGTGACTGTGGACCTGATTTGGAAATCAAGTCTTTGCACATATAATGAAGTTCATGAGAATACACCGAGTTAGGGTGTGCCCTGCATCCTACATGATTGGGGGGGGTGGTCTGACAAGAGGAGAGAAATGTGAACACAGAGATGAATGTTCAGACATAGCCAAGTGATTATGGCGAGTGTTACAAGCCAAGGGATGCATAGGATCGTTGGCATCCAGCAGCATGGAACAGTCGAGGAAGGATTCGCCCCATTCTGGCGACATCTTGTTTTCAGAATTGAAGACTCCAAACCATCAAAGAATATATTTCTATTGTTTCAAGCTACCAGATGGATAGTACTTTGCAACGGTCCCCATAAGAATCCCTCCTGTGCCTTCTCCATTGCTCCCTGTATTTCCTCTAAGAAGTAGCTCTTAATAGACCCCCCATTAAATGAACTCAGCAGATCTCCATCAGTGACCATGCCTCACAGGGGGTGTTTTCTCACATTCCGTTTTTCTGTCTCTCTCCAGTGAGCACACACCCCCAGCAAATTATTTTTTAAAAATAAAAAGAGCAGTGTGCTTACAGCCCCAGAGCTCACTATTGTCAGTGCATAATTTATTCATCTATTACAAAAACTGATGAAATATGAATGCAAAAGGAAAGACGGCTGATATTTCCATGAAAACAAAGTTGGAGACTTTGGAAATTCTTGATAAAGGTAAATCACTTTAAAAAATACAATCAAGGTAAGTGTGTATAAAGTAATTATAAAAGACCGGGGTTGGGGGGAAGAAATCATGAAAGTCTAGAAAATATCCTCATTAAGATTGCTTTACATGTACCTTTAAATTCTACTTCATTTTAATAAAACTATAACCACAGTGTATAGGACATGAGGGGGCTCTTTGAAAAGTTTATGAGAAATGTGCATTATCAAAAGAAAACTATACATGGATTTTAGTATTTTGTTCCAAAATAACCTTGTAATTTATATATTCATTTGCTATATGGTACGTGTGCTCAGTAGAGAGAGACAAATAGAGAATAAGAGAGTGAAAGTGAGAAAGGACCTCCCAAGGGGGACATCCATGCTATAATCTCTTCTCTTGCATCCTCCTTCCGGGACGTTGGGCACGCACAAGCACTCAATGTGTTTTCAAGCTGCCAGATCTGGGACACAAACTGCACAGTCACCCTCGAGGATCCAGCCACATTAGCCTGCAGACCACCACCTGGCCCCAGACTTGTTCTTTAATTCCACTTTTCCACAAACTTTTTTTTATTTTAAGAGAGAGATTTTTGCTATAGGGAACATGTGCTCGCTGGAGAGACAGATGGCCACATAGACAGACAGAAAGTGAGAAGTTACCCACTCTGCCCTCTCCCCCACCCCCCTCCAGGAGGATGACCACACCACAATCTGCTCTCGTTCATTCTCCTCTTAGGATCTTGGGTACACATGCACGTGCACCCTGGGTGAGTTTTAAGCCAAGCTACAGGGGATTCCAGTCACTTAATCATCACACCACCTGCTGGTGCCTCCACAAACATTTTTAAGTTCCCTGTTCTGTGATGGGTATGGTTTACATAGGCAGACTTTGTGAAACTACACTTAGGCCCAATGTACACATACATATGCATTTGTACAGGTTCCATACTTCTCTTTTATCCACTTTTCTACTAACTACACAGTCCCAATCCCAGACTATAATACATAAGAAAGTTTTCCTTGTAAGTAGAAGTGTATTACACTGTCTTTATTCAGTCTCTTGACTGCATCCTTAATCTATAAGCTTCTTGAACACAGAAGATGTATGATTCACTTTCCAGTCCACATTTAGTGCCCAGTGAACTGCCTACCAGAAAGCCTTTCCCTTTTGAATAAATGAAGATAAAATAGAAACACATACATGTTTTTCTTTTCCAAAAAATTCTATCATCAATAAAGTTAGATTATTATGAGCAGATATTTAAAACATAAAAAAAATAACTCATTATGGGGCCAGCAGTTGGCATGGTAGTTAAGGGTGCTGGACTCCTATACGGCCAACCATGGTTCAAGTCCTGGACCTAGTGGCTTGCTTTTTCGCTTTCCCTCCTTCTCTCTCTCTCTCTGTCCCTCTCTAGTCAAATTAAAATAAATAAATAAAGTTAAATAAAATAATTCTTTTTTAAAAAGAACCTGTTATATAGAACTAAATGTTGTAACGATTTATTATTTAATGCAATGAGGTTTTACTTACCTATATATGGATATCCTCACTTTTACTATCTCATTTATCACAGCCCTAATGTGCTTTCCACAAAAGTTTTCTGAAAACACTTGAGTCCTTCCTATTGTACATCCTCATAAAATTTCTATCTAACGCCACAGTGTTACTGACCCAAGTCTATAGATTAGAATCCTCAGGGACAGAAAGGCTCATTTCTTAAAGGAGGATCCCCAGCTATGTGTCAGATTCATGTGCTTTCAAATTCTAAGTGAGAGACTAGCAGTTGGCATAATGGCTATGTTGCTGGACTCCCATACAGTTGAACACAGTTTGAGTCCCGGACCTGGTGGCTTAAACTCACGCCGGGCGCATGTGCGTGCGTGCCCAAGATCCCGAGAGAAGGATGGAGGAGAAGGGATTGCGGTGTGGCCATCTCCCCCTGGGGGGGTGATTTCTCACTTTCTGTCTCTCTGTCTCTCTCTGTCTGTCTGGCAAGTGCATGTGCCCTATAGAAAAAACTTCTCAAAAAAAATTCTGAGTCTAACTCTGTTATTAATGAAGTTCTCACCCTGAGCACACTGTCGACCCTCCCTAACCCTCAGTGACTTCAGGCTATCACATGAAGTCTCATACCTGGACAATCAACGCAAGGATGTACTCTATTTCTAAGCCCTCATTTCATACACCAAAAGTGTGGATATTCTAATGAATAAGAAATATGACCTGTCGCTGCTTTTCTTTCTAATATAGGAGACAAAAAACACACAACAGTTAACTGTTCAAGATGACAGGACAGAAAGGATACAATGAAGATACATTAGTGAATATAGAGTGGGAAGAAAAACAGGGATACAGGACGAGGGTGAACTGAATGTCAGCATATGGGTATAAACTTTTTTAGGGGAAACAGATCATGAAACATTTTATAGTCACATAATCACAAGAATTCTACTCTTCCTTGCCTAACAGAATATCAGTGGTAAGTTGGAAGGGCCCTGAAGTATGCAGCTCAAGAAAATCAAAGACTAGTCAAGCCTTTATATCCTACTATCATAACTAAAGAGAATATACTCTAATTATATCATAAAACAATTGCTATATTAATCTCTAAATCTTAAGGATCTGAATGAATTCATAATTAAGTTTTATTACTTAAACTTTGAATAATGTTAAGATATAGGCAGACTATCAGATTCTTTTTATAGGTTACACAAATATTCCTTTTTTCTACTTCTTTAATAAGTAACTCAATAGGAACCACTGAAAAGAAATTTTAATACATTTGGTAAATAAAAATGAAATAGGGTTTCAGATGGTCCAACAAGATGAAGAATTTACCATTGGAATTCTGTTAAATAACTACAGGAGTTGTATTTTTGCCTTGAAGAACTTTCATCATGGAACACAGCTGTGAGACAACTTTGGCTTCAAACAGAAAGGCTATAATAAAGGGCCTCCTAGCTAGACTCAGGTTCAAGAGGTTTATGGCGACGAATGCAGAAAAGATGAAACGTTTCAATAATCCCTTCTGGCTGATTTAGTTAGCATTCACGGAGTGGAGTAACCTACACATCACATACCCTTGGTTAGCTGGTTGTTTAGAAGAGACGTATGAGTCACTGGGTTTTATTTTAGCAGCTGGGCAATGCAATTCTCCTTTTGCCCAAAATATTAAAATGCAGAAATGGGAAACTAAGAGAGGGAATGTCAGATCTTATACAGGATGCTCATCAACCACTGTGATGGGTCAAGAAATTCTTTTGTTCTTGTAATTCCGTCTTTCACCTTGGTAGAGGCAAATGATAAATTACCTTATTTTTTTTTTAAATATTATTCTAATCAGCAAACTGCAGTATATTTTTTTAAAACTGTGTGGTTGAGAGGTTTTGGAGGGGAGAAACTTGTAAACCAAAACAAAGCTGATATTAGAGAAGAATAAGCAAGATTCTTCGCTGTACAATTTTAAGTATAAATGAATCCCTCTGGGAGTGTGTAGGAGATACATAGACATGTGTGTGTGAGAGAGAGACAGAGAGACTGAGAGGCTCATCTCTCTATGTACCTGCCCCCATATGCCGTTCAGAATCACTGAGGGTACCTGCGACGATGCTGGCAAGCTGCTGGGTTCTAGTGATGGAGTAGATGCTACGGGCCTGAACAATTGCTGATGCGATTTTCTTGGCGTGCTTCTCCTCCCCATATGTTCTTAGGATGGATGCAAGCGCCTGTTGATCTAAGGCGTTCACGACATCGGCAGCGGTGGGCATGTCAGGGCACCTACGCACAAGAAGAGGCAATTGGCTCACTGTCATTGGTCTTCACTGACCAGGGGTGGAACTTCAGAGACATAACACCAGGCGTGTACAGTCTAAGAGGGCGTCTGAGGGTTTTAAGGCAAAGCCTGGTACCTGACATGGACGAAGCAGATTTTCCATTTCAAATACTCATGATGATAGCCAATGAGGGCAGTTTGCAATATTCATCAAGGTCAAACAAGCAGGAAGTTAAAATATTTTACTATCTTCCACTTTCATTCACAAAGATGTTATTGCTTGTGTTGATTTCTCTCAAACTAAATAGTGAAAACAAAAAGTTTGGATTTAAGTTGCACAAAATTTTAATTACCACTTTTTTTTTTTCTCCAGTATAGAAGATAGAAGGCTTATTGAAGATATCTGAATAAGCCTTGATCTCAGGAACTTAACTGAGACTGCAACTAACTGCTTGTGGCGATAAACTGAACTTAGAAAAATCAATACAAGCAGATACTAGTGGTCAATTTCCTTCACAAAAACCAGAACACCTTTATGGCAATAATATACATTATTTCCAACATTTAATAGTATTGGCTCATCTATCCATGATAAAGATCACCATGGGGTAAAACCTGGTAATCAACTCACGGTACTCAACAAGCCTGGGTAGTAATCTCAGGTAGAAGCAGAAAAGAAACACCAACCTCTGATCAAATAGAATAAATCATACTTAGCAGCAAGAAATAGCACTCAATCTGTCATACCGTTCTAGTTTACTGCACTGTGGGAATATGAGCCAAAAGATGCTAAGTTATGAGCTAACTGCGACCTTGCTGATTGGAAAGATAGCTTTGCTAAGAGTGTAAATTTGTTGGCTTGATTATTGGCACCTTGCTGTATGGACTCATAAGTAACAAGTATATGGTTGATTTAACAGCTGAGAATCTTAAAGGACAGTGAGGCTGTCAACTGAATTTCTCCTTGAAAATACTACATTACACCTTGTTAACATGTCTAGTGCCTCCGAGAGAAAAACCGTGTTGCTCTCCTGGGCTTGTCTCCTATTTTGCTATGTCCTCTATTTTTCTGTCTTTCTCTCTCTCTCTCTCTCTCTTGTTCTTTTGGTTGGGTCTTGCTTTCCAGATCCTATGATTATTGTGGGGGTTTTAGCTCTGTTTTTTTGTTTTTTTTTTTTGTCTAACTGCCATGACATCCCAAGACCAATGAATGTCTTATAAAGTAGCCTCATTTTCATCTCCGTATGCTTTAGTTCTTCAGCTTTTTCAGAATGAAGATCTGGTATTTAGAGTCAGATCAATCTAGATTAGAAACCTAGCCTTGCTACTCATATTAGGTAAGTTTATTTATCTAGCGAAACCTCAATTTTTAACCAGAAAAATGCAAAAAACAACATTTACCTCACAGACTTGTTAGGAGAATGAGGTGTGCATGCACTTGTAAAAATAGATAGTGTAATTAATGCCCGACACAGAGAAGATACTCAATGAATACCTATGTCATTTAGACCTCCCCTTTATGTGTTTGTCAGTCATCCCTGCTGTCTTAAATGGCAAAACCCCTGTTCGAGCTTACCTAGCTGTGCATTACTGCCCACAGCGCTGAGCTGCAGAATGAACCTTTCTAGTGACGGTAACTTTAAGCTCCACGGGGTCTAGCCTGGCTTGACAAAGACAATTTTAAGAATAATATGGACATACTTGGCAGATTTTCATGATACCTTCTACTTTTAAGTATAAAGTTGAAACAGCACTTTGGTCAAGTGAAGTTCAGTGAACAAACAGGCATTATAGTTTTCACTCTTATATTAACACTAAATAGTAGCAGAGGAGTTTCCAGTCTCCTGCTACTAGAGAGAAGGTTACCACTCTGAAGAGCTGACAGGCTATGGGGCAGCTCTGGAAAAGACATTCATATGCCCAAGAGGTCAACATCCAAAATCGGACCCCACTCTAACAGGTTAAGAGATTTTATCTTGTGATCAAAATCGTGTTGCTCTTTATCTTGTGACAAAATCTCCTTCAGTGTTCACTGACTCACAGTAAGTAACTAAACTCATGAGACAAAGGGAATATTAAAATAAATGCCAACTTATTACTTTCTAGTGAAGATTAAAACTGCCAACAGAACTACGCTCTCAGGTCCCTGAAACCGTGAATTTCTCTCTGCTACATGAAAAGCCTTATTATAATCTGAAATTTGGATTGGCACAGAATGAGTTCTGTTTCAAGACTCTAGTATTTGGGCCAGTCAGTGATGCTGGGTAACACAACGCTCTGCATGTAATACTGGACCCACTTTGGAGGTCGCAGATTCACGTCCTGAGGACTTCCTGTACATGTAAGATATGCACGTGCCCAAGATTCAGGCAGGCAGAGGCTGGGAGAGGATCACGGCATGAGGACTTACTAGGATGTCTATTTCTGTCTCTCTTTCTCATGTAAAAAGTAAATAAATAAACTTAAAAAAAAATAGTGATGCCAGTGTTAAAAGGAAACAGACTGCAAAAGCTGCGTGTATCCATCTTTATCATGGGATCAGAGCACCAGGATCTGAGGAGTTATATTACTTGGTCTGGACGTCCTCTCCCTATAAAACCAGCTGGACTAGCACTGCATGCATTTGCCATCTCTGATCTTCCTTTTTCTATGAATCACATTGGTCAGCTCCCCCTTTCTAAATAGCACATACTTTCTTCAGACCTGCTAGTATCTTTGACAAGGTTACAACCTATGCTATCTACCTGGAAGCCATTCACCTTTTTAAGACATATCTGCTTAACTCTAATGTCTTGTGTCAGATATGACTTAGAGTTTAGTTCTCAGGAACAACCTTATTTTTGGAGTTGTTGAGGGAGAACTTCAGGGGCTCTGATTCGCAGACTATAATGGGTTGTTAAGTCTTTACATTAACAATATGGAAATTTACTACCATGAACTAGCTTTGATCATTGTATTTCAGCAGACATGCTCCTCAGCGAGGCAGAGGAACAGTAAAACTTTGCTTGACATTTTATTACCTCTGCACAACCACTTCAATCTCCAAACATGAGACTATGTTTGACCTTTACTATTAGTCACTGGGTTTTAAAGGATTTTTATCATTTTCTTTTATGATTACATTCTTCATCGTATGAATGCCAACAACACGTGCGAAAGGAGGTAGCTGAAAGATGATCCACAGTAACAGGTCATGTCACAACATGGAGAGAAGTCTGTATGTGAATAATTACCACAGGACACAGCAGAGTGTCGGAGGGTGCAAAATATGATAGAGAAAAGTAAGATTTAGCTTCTGTGAGTACAGGTTGCTCAGTCTCTGGACCAGTGCTGAAAATAGACATGAGCACTAATCTAAGTTTTTAAATTAATCTAGATAAAAAGAAATTATAGCTAGTCTCTCCTAGAATGTGATCCTCTTTCTGTTTGAATAACAGAGAATAAACACTAGGGTGAGATGTGAAGAGGAGATGGAAAAGATGACCCGCACGCATGTAGTCCGTATTTACTACCATAATCTGCGGTTTCTCTGGAGAAGGTTCCACCAAAGTAACCACTCAAGACACAGGACGAAACATACAATTGCTGACCCTGAGGATCCAGCTTTGATCCTGTACTCTAGTAGAATATGTATTAAAGATCATGCCTTGTGCTTCTCATAAGAAGCATACGATTTTTCAGTATCATGAAGTTTATCAAAATTATGAGTAGGCTAAAAGCCATACTGTATCCATGAAAAAGATTCGGTAAGAAAGTTAGCCTCTTCACATCTTCTTTTTAGAGACAGTAATTATTTTTCTTTTAGAACTCCAAATCTAGAGAAATACTGAAGTCTATAATGAGCAGCAAACAAAACTGATTTATTATGTATGGGTAGTGTTAGGTGTGGGCGTGTGATGGGAATTCTGCAGTCTAAAAAGGAAATTAAATTCAGAGTGTTTTTTGAGAAATTGATTTCTTCTTGCAAGGAGAAATGCTTTATCAATACTCACCTGCCACCATCCATCCTCATGTCCAAAGGGCCGTCCTTCCGAAGGGAAAAACCTCTTTCAGGAGCATCAAGTTGCATGGAGGAACATCCAAGATCCAAAAGAACTCCATCCAAAGTCCCTGGCTGTACTCCCGCTTTTGTTAATAAGGCTTCAGCCTGGCTGAACTGGCCTAGCATTGCTCGGATCTGTTTACTGTGAACAAACCAAAGGAATGGAGAAAATACTTCTGTTAATGTCTTTCTTAAAGCTTACGATCAACGGAAGGGAATGCATCCAATGGTTAGATTACTGAACTAATATTATTAAGTGAGGACCAACCACAGGCTTTAGCACTATAGAAAGATACACAAACTATGGAAACTGTACATCTGGTATTTGGTTTCAAATAGCAGAGCTGATTTAGGATGATGTTATTATTGCTAATAAACACAATTTGTTGCATACCTTTGTGAAGGTATGTAACTTGCATAAATCAGAAAAAAAAAATCAGTCAGACCAGAGCTTTAATTGTTTTCTTAAAAACATTTTCTAAAATGTATGAGTAGGAAAAGAAGCATATGACAGTTTATCAAAATAATAACTTTTTTTTGAAAGTTTTTTGCTATAGGGCACATGTGCTTGCCAGAAGGACAGAAAGACAGAATGTGAGAAATCACCCCCTAGGAGGGATGGCCACGATGCAATCCCTTCTCCATTCTCCTCTCCGGATGCTGGACATGCACACACATGCACCTGGTATGAGTTTAAGCCACCAGGTCCGGAACGTGAACCCTGGTCGACTACATGGGAATCCAGCAACATAGCCATTACATCTACTGCTAGTCCCTCAAAATAATAACTTTAACGCCAGCCTAATGCCTGAATTTAAAATAGCTGGATGCCACATAGTCCACTGTAGGATTCAAGTCCCAGACTCAGGGGCTTGAAAAAGGAAACCATGTAGAGCACATGGGCAAGCATGCCTAAAATCACACAAGGAAAAGGGAATGCGGAAGGGATTGTGGTGTGACCATGCCCCATGGGAGTGGGGTGGGGGGTGGTAAATGCTTTCTTGCCTTCTCTGCCTCTCTCTGGTGACCACACATGCCCTCTGGCAAATTAAAATAATAATAATAATAACAACAACAATTACTTTAATGAGTAAGTCAATTTAAATACAATAATAAAACAGAAATCATTGAAAAATATATGTCAAATATGTTTAAGCCCCACATTTTTGCTTTCTCATGTAGGATGGGATGCTACGCAGATTCATACTTGAGAAATGAAACTGACTGAAATGAATGCCTTCCTGCAGAAGCAACGTTTCATCTCT